GGTAGATTGAAGTATTTTCTAGGTATTGAGGTCGCTCAGTCTAGCTCAGGTATTGTTATTTCACAGCGGAAGTATGCCTTAGACATTCTTGAGGAGACTAGAATGATGAGTTGCAGACCTATTGACTCTCCTATGAATCCGAATGCTAAGCTTCTGCCTGGACAGGGGTAGCCTCTTAGAGACCCTACGAGATATAGGAGGTTGGTTGGCAAATTGAATTACCTCACAGTGACTAGACCTGACATTTTTTTTCCGGTAAGTGTTGTAAGTCAGTTTATGGATTCTCCCTGTGATAGTCACTGGGATGCAGCTGTTCGCATTCTTCGGTATATAAAGTCAGCTCCAGGCAAATGATTACTATTCGAGGATCGAGGCCACGAGCAGATTGTTGGGTACACAGATGCTGATTGGGTAGGATCACCTTTTGATAGACGTTCTACGTTTGGATATTATGTTCTAGTAGGAGGTAATTTGGTCTCGTGGAAGAGCAAGAAACAAAATGTAGTTGCTTGCTCTAGCGCTGAAGCCGAATATCGAGCCATGGCTGTGGCGACGTGTGAGTTAGTTTGGGTAAAGCAGTTGCTCAAATAGTTAAAGTTCGGAGAAATCAGCAAGATAGAACTAGTGTGTGATAACCAAGCTGCTCTTCATATTGCGTCAAATTCGGTGTTCCATAAGAGGACTAAACACATTGAGATCGACTGTCACTTTGTTAGAGAAAAAATACTTTCAGGAGATATTGTTACAAAGTTTATAAAGTCGAATGATCAACTAGCAGATATTTTCACTAAATTTCTTACTGGTTCTCGTATTAGTTACATGTGTAACAAGCTCGGTACATATGATGTGTATCCACCGGCTTGAGGGGGAGTGTTAGTTTACAAATATATATAGTGTAGTCTTGTCCCACATGAGAAGAGGAGTAATATCTCCTTGTAGTGTATAGCTATAAATAGAGACCTTTTGTATTGTATTTATCATCCAATATTAATAACATATTTTCTCCCGTGCCTTCTCACATACATGATCTACTCATAAAGGATCCTACTGCACAGTATTTGGTTGATCTTGTAGGACAGGGCAAGACTCGCCAGTTCCTGAAAGTGAAAGGGAACCAATTTTATGTTCCTAAAGGAGGAGATCTGCGAAGAACTCTTCTGATGGTGAAGAACGCACCATGGCATTACTTCGCCGCACATATTATTGGCCTCAAATGGCTGATGACGTCGCTCAGTATGTGAAGACTTGTCTAGTATACCAGAAGGACAAGTCGGACCGATTGACACAAGCGAGACTCTTGGAATCACTACCTGTCCCAAAGAGACCTTGGGAAAGCGTTTATCTGGATTTTCATCACCCGGCTGCCAAAGGTTGGAGATCTCACAACTATCTTGGTGTTGGTGGATCGGTTTTCCAAGTATGCTATATTTATAGCAGCCCTACAATATATATCAGCAGAACATACAGCTCGACTCTTCATCTCTCATGTCGTCAAATATTGGGGCCTGACTAAAGACATCGTTAGTGATAGCGACTCACGCTTCACTAGCAAATTTTGGACCCAACTCTTTAAGTTCCTCGGATCAAAATTGAGTCACAACTCAAGTTTTCATTCGCAATCTGATGACCAGACGGAGCGGTTCAATGGCATGCTGGAGGAATACCTCCGCCACTTTGTAACCGGATCGCAGAAGAACTAGGTGAAGCTTCTGGATGCTGCTCAACTGTGTTTCAATTCACAAAAAAACTCTAGTACAAAAAAAGCGCTTTTGAAATTGTTACCGGACAACAACCGCTACTCCCACACCGTGAATGCACCAAACATGTCAAAATTTCCTCGAGCTGCTAGCTTTTCAAAAGAATGGAAGCGAAATTTGGAGATAGTGCAGAGCTATCTTGTCAAAACCCAAAAGCGGAAGAAGAGGCATGCTAATCAAAATCGTCGCTTTGTTTTGAATACCAAGTAGGAGACAAAATGATGGTCAAAATCCCAAAGCGGTACTTGTTTGCATGGGTCCATGACCCTCGCTTATTGCAAAAATACATTAGACCCTTGTCCATTGAAAGGCGCATTGGAAACCCCAGCTTGGTGGAAAATCCATCCCGGTTTTCATGTCAGTCTTCTGAAACCTTTTCGGGAAGACATGGAGGACCCTTCACGGAGCCAACTCACAATACCCAGTATTCGAGGCCCCAATTCAATCGGGAAAAAGGCGTGCTGAAGCTATTCTTAATGATCAAGTGATTCACGCCTAAAGGAAAGATCACCAAGAATTCTTGGTAAAATAGCAGGGTTGTGATGCGGAGGAGAATGTCATGGGCGGCTTTCCAGCCATGCCCCATTGGACGCGCCCCATGGCATCCTAGCAAGCCTCCCAACACCTAGCGCCATGGACGACCCTGTGGTCTTGGCTTCGCCAAGTGACTAGCGCGCATGTGCCTCTGTCGCCCCACCAATAGCCCTCGGGAGCGCCCAGCCGCAGGCCGATGCCAACGGCGCCGCGCGCGTAGACCGTGATGTCAAAGACAAGGTTGCTGACAACGGACCTGTTTCTACCTTGCAGAAAACTAAGTCCTTTTCATTGTAAATATAAAATACTTTTATTTCATGTACTTCCATTATGTTCCTCTAGCTTAGTTAGGCCAAGTCATGTAACTTGGGTTTATTTATTTTAAGCATTATTAGGGAGGATCAAGCAATCAAACTTTCTTAGCAAGCAAGCAATTCTCTTTACTGGTGTCTCTCCCCCTCGATACCGTCCTCGACACCGTGTTGCTTTTCTGTAATAGCTTTCACTAATGCAATCAAACTTTTTTTCATTCTCAATTCTCATTTTTTTTCTCTCAATTGCTCTTGACATTGGTTTTCTCGTACGGTACTGACAATCTAGTCTAGCATACGGAGGGGAACTCAGTTGGCGGATAGTAACTACACGGACATCGATTGCTTAGCCTTACATTATCCTTACAAGGAATCTCAGGAAAGCGTCGCGTAACAGATAGGAAGCAGGGAAACAATTAAGAATGATGGGTAAATATCAATTACCTTGCTCAACTTTGTTTGATATTCAAAATTGGTCTGATTTCAACAGGAGAAAGTGTTTCTCTCCCTTTCAACTTTGGTGATTGATTGAAGACTATGTAATTTGGGAAGACTAGATCAATGTAGTTCAATCGCAGGAAGTTGGGAAAGTTGAGGAATATGTGAATATGTAAAACTAGAGCTAACAAGGGAAGCAAGAGGGCACTTCAATATGGATAGGATCCAATTCCCTTTATTTCGAATTAGAAAGAAAAATCTCTGTTTGGAAAACTTTCAAGACTTTATAAGTTTGACATGCCTTGAATTATTTATATACTTGTATAGGAAAGGAAGTTCTTCAGTATAGATATATATATGGGAGAGCCTCGTTAGAATAGTGATTTTTGTGAACTTGCATAGAGTATCTTACATTGAATTTGCTATGGCGCAAAAACATCTTTAACCACCAAAATTATTATAAGAACGTGACTGGAACACTATCTGAATAGCAGTCACACCATGTAGCTCAACTTATGATCATGATAGATTCCTTATTTAATCATATAACAGTGGGAGACGAGTCTGAATATAATGCACAAGAAAATATAGGAGGAACATTGAAAAGTGGAAACCAGCAGAAATACAGATGATATTAGAACTCTGCTACAAGGGTGACAAAGGCATGTTTTACGAAGTCTGATACCTCAATGCATGATACTATTTTCTGGTGCTGCTTTCTGACAATAGAACTAGTTACACTGTTGAGTTGTCCCACATCGGAGGGATTTGAGGTCCTTGGTCTCCTTATATGGTCTTAGGCAATCCTCACCTCATAAGCTAGCTGTTGGGGTTGAGTTAGGCCCAAGGTCCATTTATCATACACCAGCAACTACATGAATGAAAAACTCTAGATGACGATCGTTCTTCCGTTAGGACTCCAGAATGAGAAGATATATGCTAAGTTTTTCTCATCACGTCTTTCTGAAATGATAACTACTCTAGTATCTTGTTCTTACTATTATTCTGGAACATCAAGCAATTCTGTGTCTCATGCACGAATGTGTTCCTTTTTCGCTGTACTTCTAGTTTTGATAACATTCAAGCATGTTACTGACAAAATCAAATGAAAGACCCTATGACATACATAGGGAGGAAGGGGATGCATTGCATGTTATAGTACGAAACAGACTTCAGAAGGCGTGTCACGTTTTGCTTGCAAAACTATCATCATGGCACTAGAACTACAATTTGGCTCGACTTCTAGCCATTTCCCATTTCTATGTCAACAATATTGGATTTCAAACCCAAATAACAGAGGAAATTAGAGACGGACACTGAGGAAACTTACAAAAAAACTATGTGTACTCAAAGTCCCAAAACAGGGGTGGACCAATACAGTCTTCCATAGTACAGAAAGAAGTCCTAAACAGCAAATGGCCCAATAAATTTGTTGTTCCAATCATTTTGTGCTATCTTCTGATTGCCAGCATTTCTATTCTGCCTAAACATATCTTTATCATGATTTCATTAAGCATTTCTCATTGAGTCACTAAAACTACTCATGAAGTATACCATAACACCCCACTACCCTACTGGCTGACAAACTACTACCGCTGATGTGTTGTTGTTGTTAGAATTATTTTATCTATTACCATTATACCACTAAACAATTGCTTTCAATGTCATGAATGCTTCAGAAATACTCCATCAGACAGACAGATCGACAAACAGAAAAGGAGACAGAAACAGAAATAAAGATATGTTAAACAAAAGAGAAAGGCGAAAGGCAAGGAAAGTTTGACCTGAAAGACTGGACCTCTTTTCTTTTTATCATATCCGGGATCCCAATACTTACCTTATTTCACCCAAAAACCTACAGATAGTTANGGAACACCCACAACTAACGAGTTAATCCATACCTTGATGATTGGTACATGAAATTAGAGTAAAAAGAGCAAAACAAACTTCAGAGACCTACCTTAAAGACAGTACCATTCACTTTGTCAACGTTTAGCGTGCCATCACTCTCAACTCCATTCAACTGAAAAACAAAGAGAGAAAATAAAGAACTGCAGCCATCGTGTTAATAAGAGGCTGCAAAAGATATTATCTGCCCTGTTTTATTCGAGTTCTTTCTTATTAGATAAAACAGTATTTAATTACACTGACCTAGTATGGAGACAACACAATTTTTTTGACAAGGGAAGTCAACACAATTTAACTATTATGTATGTAGAGGCTAGACTAGAAACAAACAGAACAACTTTGTGATACACTCCAAAATATTTGCTCAATCAGTACAACGTAGACAATTCTAAATATATTTATTTTGACAGCATGAAGTCGGTGATTGAAAGATACAACAAAACAAAGGAGGAGAATCACCAATTGGCAACTCCAACTTCTGAGGTTAGGGTAAGTTTCACTGGTTAATTTGCGGTCAACTAGTCAAAGAAAAATATGCATACTAAGGTTTCTATCATAGCCACTTCATGTCGTTGAACAAGGAAATGGTTGAGTAGTTGAGACACATGAGTAACAACCTGAGATCTCAGGTTCAAAGCTAAGCTATGACACTCGGTATAAGCCTATCTGCTCTACCATGGTGAGTTGATTTCGCGACACGTGTACGGTGGCCTGCAGCAGGCTTTTCGGTGGGATAGTCTAGGTGCGAGCAAAGTGACCCTGACACCACTATAATAAGAAGAAAAAAAGATGTTCAAAGTTAACAGAAAAATTAAATAGTAGAGAATTTGGTAATGATTATATTATCAATGAAAGTTAAGAGGATCAATAAGAATAATATGGAAAATATCCTTAGTGTCGTGTAATAAATAGGAAACCTTAGGAACATGAAACTTCCTTATCTCATATATAGTTCAAAACTTTTCTACAAGGAGCCTTCTTGATGTTATCAACCAGTTCCAATAAGAGTTTCTCTTCGTCTCTCTCCTTCCATGTGGTATTAGGCGTATTAAGCTTCTACGATATTTGTGGAAATCTAAGTACTACTCTTGCCTCTTTCTGATAACCATTCTAGGCAGCACTATTCTTATTTCCAGCCATCATTAGGCAGCATTGTGACATTTCAGGCTCCACATTTCTTTCCTGAGAACATTTGAGGCACCGCGCTGATCTCTTTCAGGCAACCATCCTGACGGCATCGTCTCTTCCAGTCACTTTTCTCTGGCTTTGCAAGCAATTACTCCAATAATTTCTTGTTACCCTTCAACTTTAATTCAAGCTTACATGATTTAATAGAGATTTGTGTCACCAAAATCTCTTTCCGCTAAATCAAAACGATTTTTCCCATGTGCTGCAAGGCATATTTCTTTGGTTGTGTCGATAACTGTCTATGAGAAAGAATATGACCTTTCGATGATGATCACTGTTCCGGCAACAATCAGGAGTTGAACCTGTACTAAAGTTTTGGCTCAACTCCTATCCAAGATACAAGGAGTCTATTAAGTCTAAAAGAGTTGTCAAAATGATCTTAGTGAGAATTACTCCTAATGTTCTGCCATTGACAAGATAACTATTAACTATTATATCATAATTGAAAACCCCAATAATTAGGATTCTTCAGTCCATTAAAAAAGAGCCCTCCTATATGTTAACCCAAAAAAGTTCAGTAAGAGTTTCTCTCCTCTTTCCTCTTTTCACAACATGCGTAAATTGTGGTGTATTGTTGTTTACAGTTTTTCCTCGCTACCGAGAGATCCCCGGCGGCCAAAGGGTTCGAAACTCCGGCATATGATGGGCCCGCCCCTCTACCCTTCTCCACTTAAATATCTGGCTTTATCTGAGGCAAGATTCGAACCTGCGACGTGTGCCTACACATCATCGATATGCTCTTACCACTAGAACAAAGCCCTGGGGGGCATTGTTCTTTACACCTCTTTGTGAAAAGGATTTAAAAGATATTGGCACCTATCCGCAAATTTTAGCAAATTAATTAGAATTAGGAGATGGAGAGCAGGATAAAGGGAGAGCAGGATAAAGGGGCAAAAGCAAAAAAAACATAAACAAAATGCTGCAAGAAGCAAATTAATTAGAATTAGGAGATGGAGAGCAGGATAAAGGGGCAAAAGCAAAAAAACATAAACAAAATGCTGCAAGAAAGAAGCATACAGATTCTCATAGTTACAGTCAGCTGTACCGTTGAAGATGCTGGACTGAAGGCTAAAGTTTGAAGACATATAGTTTAAACGGAAGGAAGATATTTTACAAGACAATAGCAAGATTTCTCCAAAGTGTTTTATAAAAGACACGATAAGCCAGGGGCAATCCAACACATTGACGGAGAACAGGAACTAAGTATTCCAGTATTACAATGCGGCATGAAAAGCTACCTATTGTATGAACGTACTGCAACTTCAGCTATTCAGGATTTAACTGGAGAGAGGTCACATAAAAGAATAGATCAGAGAGACTCCCATTTGTCTAGCAATCAAAGCATAGGTAGGGACAGAACTGTCTTATAGTTCACAATTATTTCGATTTGCATCATATCAACAAGAACATCTTCTTCGGCTAAACAGATTCCACATAACCACTACAGTCGACACAGCCTGATTCCTGCTAGATTAAAACAACAAAAATTAGGGTTTTCAAGCTCTTGAGGATACTTACAGGCCACGTGTTTAGAATAAAGGCCACATGCTACCATTTCACTGACGATCACCATTAATAAATCAACTTCAAGGATTTAACAATATGTCAAATTTTGTTGTACAGGAAAGTTTGGCCATCTTTTAAATTACTTTTACAGTGTAAAGGTTCTTTTATTGTGGGAAAACTTCTAGTATGACAGACTTCAAAGATTGCTTATCCCCCCAGGCCCCCTTCTAACCAGTGTCTACAAAATCTCAAACAAAATCTTCAGAATTTTCATCATCTGAGTCATGTAACTCAACAAGGAGATTCAATTTGTGGTATAAGGAGTAATGATTTCCTTACCGTGAAGTTCATTTCTTGATAATGGTCAGCTAAGGCACACCCCTCTCCTAACTTGTCAAACTTGAATGTGGTACTATTTAGTATACGAGTACCTTTTTTGAAAAAAGAGGAGGATAGCTGTCCTAAACTTTCTACCAAGATAACATTTGGTGTTAATCTGCAACTTATCTTCTTACTTCTACACAGTCCCTCTTGTCTTTATTAAGCAGATAATGACATTCATGGATAGCACTAGGTTCTAGGTACCACTGCTTCACTCAAGGTATCCAACTCTATAACCTGTCTTTGTCATGCCATCTGTTCAGTATCTGGAGATCAGTCTCTAATCCTTCTTTGCAATTGCAGAAGGAAAAAATAGAAGTCAGACGCTATGCTTCATGTCTTCAAGATGCTGCAAAGGAATAAAAATTCCCATTAAAAAATAGTTCGTTCTTCACATATCAGTATTACAGGAATTATGCAGTTCAGGCACATAGGAAAACGAAATGTGATGAGAAGTGAAACAGGAGAAACATTGGGCCTTCCTGTGTTCAGAAATCACACACCCTGAGATACTGATACTACTGTGAAACTGAAGCAGTGTAGATTAGTCTACCTTTCAGGGGATTTTCATGTGACAGAGAGCCATATCAGTTCAGGTGCAGCAAGGAACTTTGGATATGGTATTGGAAGGTAATTTCTCGTAAGATTGACCACAGAAGCAGAACTTGACTCCTTTTATTAATAAGACTGCATAGGTCAACATAATTTAGGACATAATTAAGCATTCTGCTGAGGGGTTAATACTGCCATCATGACATATTGCACTCATGCTCATAGCACACACTTCCTACAGTACACAAAATCCAAGAACAGAAGATCTCATCTAGAGTTGTGTTATAATCTCCAACTGGGGCACGTCTAATTTCTTACTTGTACAAGAAAAACAAATGTTGCCCATATGTCATGAACCTAATTAGTGTGACAAAAGGGATTAAAAAATAGTTATCCATTCATATTATCATGAACTTTTTAAAAACAAGTCAAATATGGATAAGAACCATATTATCCACTTAGAAAATGAATAACCAATGGATAACTAATGAGTTTAACTTTTACATTTGTAAAGATTCAAATTGAGGGTTCCTCAAGTTTGGGAGACTAGGAATTCTCCCAAAAATGATCATATTCAAGAAGCCATGGATAATATAGATATCCACATTATCCACCGATTAACTCATTTTCTATCCGTATTAAATATGAGTTAGGTCAGGTAATTTATCCATTTTTGCATTCCCGTTTTCGACCTGCCCATATCCTATCCGACCCGCCCGTTTGCCACCCCTAAACCTAAGCAATACATATTATGCAAAGACATGAACATAAGAACCAAGGATATGGCTATAACATTGAAGAACTATAACCAGATAAACCGTCCGCCTACAAACCAATTTTCATCACATGCCATACTATCACTCTACAAAAATGAAGCAAACTGAAAATGACCAACAACTAAAGAGCCTAAATAATAATCTGACGGATATCCTTCCTCCCCAACATGAATCTAAACGACACTAACTTATGTATTATTCTTAACAAAAGCCACTAATAGTTGCCTAAATGTCATGAAACCTCAAATAGAAGCCTCAGCTACCATAGAGAGGGACAATGGTATCCATGGTTCAGTTTTGCCACCGCAAAGAGACCCAATATCTCTGTTCAATCCCACTCTAGATGATTTCTTCCATATGCAGATAAGCTCTTCACTTATCTCACACACACACACACATATATATATATACCTTTTGCTTACCTTTTGTCAAAAGTGCTAATGCTAAACTTCACGTTATCAAGCATTGCCAACTATTATAACATGGGTGGGATGAGATGTAGCCTCTCTCCACATAATCCCACCTTCAACATATAGGAGCGGTCGTCTACCATTAGCTTCCTTGCATGTAAAATATCTCTTTCTGGTATAAAATTAAGCATGTAAATTCTACTTAGATATTGGTGCAACCTAGGGAGAACCACACCCCAAAAGCTAGCTATTGAGGGGGGAGAGCCCAAGGCTATATAAATCCCACATCAGCACTTGTAGTACCGATGTGAGACTCAAGTCTCATTCCTTGCAATAGACCACAAATATCAACAAATAAAAATGTAGCTGGAAAAATAAAATAACAAGTCTTCTTCTTCTTAGATATGCATAGACGAAGAGTGATTACCATTACTTTATGCTGGTCTAGGTCGGACTCAACATAACCAATAAAAACCGTCAATAACATTAGGCATCAAATCTTTTCTTCTTCTTTCACATATTTCACTTTGATAGTAAAAGGTACAACAGAAGATGGTAAATGAAGGAACAAACTCTTCCTATGAACTAAAAACTGTATACAAAGAGGGGAAAATCAGTCTCTTGTGCACCTATTAGATGGTGGAGTCCTATTTCATCTATTCAGTAGGATTATCTCTCAGTCAATTAAGCTAGATCCAGTTGTAAAAATCCCACATAAGGTGCAAAGCATAGAAGGAAGTTACAAACAAATTATAGCACAATTAGGACCGAGGTTTGAATAACATATGATAGTATAGCATAGAGTAACTATGCAGCTACTGTAATTACTCATTTACCAAACAGAAGGTTGAATTCGCATCCTCCATGATGTACCACACACCAGAGTTTATGGCCAGCAACTTCAAGGCTACCAAAACAACTATAACTTATATTTCTATGGCTGATGGCATATTGTGGAGCAAAATTTTTGAAGGTAGAAAGCAACAAAGATTAAAGAGATGCCTTGTGGCTATCTCTTTTACTTTAAAACTTTGAATCCCCTTTGAAATGTCATCCAAACCCATTGGTTTGAAGAATTCATCACAAGTTTGTAGGAGTAATATGCCACAAAATATCAAGAGGAGCTGTTAATTAACATCACTTAAGCCACTCTACAGTATATCCATATCAAGGCATTGTATTGATCAGGGCAACCAGTCAATAGTAGGGTCCATGCTAAATTCGTATGAGATGCATCAAATTGTTAGTGCTATACAAAAGAAGTCATGTAGCTAAATCTACAATATGTCTTCCACAAAAATGACAAAAATTGAATTCAACCTGGCTTGGTTGCATGGTCAACACCTTTGATGTGTCCTAGTCATGTTAAGACTCAAATCCTCTTCTATTCCTACATGTCGACCTTTGTACCAAAAGTAGAAAT